ATATATATATATATACATATATGTATATATATATATATATACATCTATGTATACATATATATACATTAAAATACATAAGTAAACACAAACAAGGAGGAGAACTATGCAAACAATATAAATGCATCTGTATAATATCTATATGTATATATATATATATACATCGCTTGCATAATTTTCTTTTTCGTTTGTGTTTATGTATGAATTCGAATAAAATAAACGCATAATATAGGTGGTGTACTGCATTGAGGTGTATAAGCAGCAGCAGCAGCAGCAGCAGCAGCAGCAGCAGCAGCAGCAGCAGCAGCACCTCAGTATGAGCGAATCCACAGTCAAGGCCCTTAGAACAACGCCCTGGTCTGCCTCCCTTTAAGAAGGGACATAGCTGAGTTCTGTAGAATTTTGTTGTTCTTAAATCAGTTTCATGAATAACTCTTCCTGCTGCTGCTAGCTGCTGCAGCCGACGAGAAGGCGGCAGCAAATGCCATGAGGGGCCCTGGGGCCCCCCTGTCTGCTGCTGCCGCATCAATATACACAAGCTTCAACTGCAGCAGCAACAGCAGCAACAGCAGCAGCAGCAGCAGCAGCAGCAAAGTAAAGCAAATTTACACGCACACAGAGGGAAAGAGAGCGAGGGAGGGATGTCGATGCAGGTACACCCCAAGATGCATATACACCCCAAACCCCACAAGGTGTACAGGCAGGAGCTACAGCAAAGCAGCAGCAGCAGCAGCAGACTGCAGCAGCTGAGAGCAGCAGCAGATAGAGCCCCCCTTAAAAGGAGTAAAGGAGAGCAGAGAGGGCCTTAAGTATATTTTATTTACAGAAAAGACAATCAAAAACCCTCTCTTTCAATAAATCAAGCAAACAATGAACAAAGAAAAACACAAAATAACAACAAAACTGCAGCTTTCCCTCAACCGGAAGAAAACCACCCGAGCAGGCGAGCAGCAGCAGCAGCAGCAGCAGCAGCAGCAGCAGGAGCAACAGGGCCGCGGGTGGGTTGGGAGCTGTATAAATAGAAATTTAATTAAGAAAAAAAGTTCTAATAAAATTTGTATTCACATTTCAGCAACAAAACACAAAAACAGCAGCCGTTTCATACAAACATAGACCCACCGGGTCTCAACACACCCAGCAGCAGTCACCGGTCGGCGGCGCGTCGCTGCTGCTGTTGCTGCATATATCAGTTGCATTAAAAATAAATATTTCTTTGAAATAACTACATATTTATCTTTTTTATGTTTTATACTTTATTTTTCATACCCTAATGTATATATTTTACTGCTACTTTTATACATTTCAATACTGATTCCCTCACCCCCCCGCGCCTCCGCCGCCTGCTTCGCCGCCGTGTATACTTCTTCATTATTAGGGGGTCTACTGACTCATTATTTGTTTTTTTAAATATGAAAAGCAAATAAATACACTTAAATTTGTTGTTTTTTCAATTTTTTAACCGCAAATTAACTATCTCTACGGTGTATATACACCGCATAAAGCAGCAGCCAACGCATGCAAGCACGGAAGCGCCTAGCGCCTCTAAGGCTGCTGCTACGACTGCTTGCAGGGTTTGAAGGAGAATAAAACGAGGAAAACTGCAGAAAAAGAGATAAATAAATTTTAATTATTGATTATGAATATAATTTCATAATATTTACTTAAATAAACAGCACCCGTCGCACTGCGTTGCGACAGCAGGCACCACCTCCAGACTCACTCCGAAAGAAGCAGCAACAAAAAAAGAGAGGAATAAAGTAATTTAAGCAAATAAATATAAATAAACTAATTTAAATAAACGAGCCTAAAGAAACAAATGCAAGTAAACCAATTTAAGTAAACTAATGTACACAAACAAAAGAAAACAAAAACAGACAAACACCGTAAACCACACAAGAAGATCTGTTACGCCAGCAAAAGCAGCAGCAGCAACAGCAGCAGTAGTATCAGCAGCAGTAGTATCAGCAGCAGCATTAGCAGCAGCAGCAGCAGCAGCAACAGGAGTGGATTATTCTTCCCAATGCATGCATAATTTGTTTATTAGTTGCTGCAATGAGGATATTTATAAACAACGTAAACACTTACTCAGGGATTGCTCTTGCAAGAACACTAAGACAAGGAGAAGGGGGTTTAAATCGTTTGTTTGGCACTGCAAAAGGGGTAGAAGAAGGCCCGAAGCAGCAGCCCCACACCCCCAGCAGCAGCAGCAGCAGCAGCAGCAGCAGCAGCAGCAGCAGCAGCAGCAGCAGCACGCAAAGCATACCTGTGCCTGCATGCATTCGTAGAGTTATATCTAAGAGGAACCCGCAGCAGCTACTACAAAATATACTTACGTGTAGCTTAGCAGTCTTTGATTTGCATAATAGCGAACCTGAAGAAATTGAAATAATTTTAAAAAGAATTAAAGCTGCTAATATACAACACCCTCTGACTGTTATTCTTATTTCTTCTGTTCTCACCTGGGGCGCAACCCCAAAACAGTACACCAGCAGCAGTAGCAGCAGCAACAACAGCAGCAACAGCAGCAGCAGCAGCAACTCGGACGGTCAAGAGACAGACGATGGCGCTGCTTCTGCTGCATCAACAGCAGCACCGCAGCAGCAGCAGCAGCAAGACATCAATGGGGACAGCGATTATCAAGAAGAAGAGGACTCCGAAGGAGTAGAAAAAGAGACAGAAGATGACGCCAGCAGCAGCAGCAGCAGCAGCACAAGCAGCAGCAGCACGAGCAGCAGCAGCACGAGCAGCAGCAGCACAAGCACAAGCAGCAGCAGCAGCAGCAGCAGCAGCAAGAGCCGCATACCTGTCCCCTTCTCTCAAGACCGCTACACCATAAGGGTGCCTCTTAAGCAGTATGAAGGTTGGAAGTGCATCGAAACTTTGCTGCTGTCTCTAAATTCTAAGACGAATTTCGTCGGTGTTGTTGTTGCTGCTGGAGTTTTGTATGGATACGGAGAAGATGTATTATACGAACCCTTCAAAGCAGCATGGCTGGGCCTCAATACAAACGCAACCATCGGTTAGATACTCCTGCTGCTGCTGCTGCTGCTGCTGCTGGTGTTGGTGCGGGTGTTGGTGCTGCTGCTGGTGCTGCTGCTGCTGTTGCTAGTGCTGCTGGTGTAAGTGCTGCTGGTGCTGCGGGTGTTGGTGCTGCTGCCGCTGGTGCTGCTGCTGCTAGTGCTGTTGCTGCTGCTGCTGTAGCTGCTGTTGATGCTGGCTCTGCTGCTAGTGCTGCTGCCAGTGCTGCTGCAGTTGGAGTGTATGAGGCGGTGCCCTCTATTCTATTTTTTGTTTTTGTTTATCTTTTTATTTATGTTTTATTATTTGTTGATGTTTAGTTTGCTGTTGTTTTGTCTTTTATAAACCCTAAACCCTAAACCCTAAGCCTTAAACCCTAACTGTTTGTTTGCTCAGGAAGCGGCAACAACTACGTTCCTTGCGTGCATATACAGGATTTATGTTCATTAGTTAGGGTTTTAGGGTTTAGGGTTTGGGGTTTAGACGAGAGCAGCAAAGAAAACACAAAAGAAAGCAGCAATAACTACTATCATATTGCTGTAGATTTAAGCAGAATTACTCAAAGACAAATAATAGAAGCAATAGAGACAGAAGTAGGAGAGGGTTTGCAGCTCGCTGCTGCTGGTGCTGCAGCAGCAACAACAAAAGAAGCAGCAGCACTCATACCGCAGCAACAAGCAGCAGCACTTCTTCTTGATCTTTCTTTCTTACCTTCTCCTTTAATGCAAACAAAGACATTTAAATGGAGCTCTCAAAAAGGCATAATTTACAACATCAAACAAATTGCAAAAGAATTCGTTGCAGCAAGAAGACTGCAGCAAATTAAAGTTCTCGTTATCGGTATAAATATATTCTTATTCTTATTCTTATTCTTATTCTTATTCTTATTCTTATTCTTATTCTTATTCTTATTCTTACTTCTATTATGCTTTTACATCTTTCTTTTTCTAGAATGTTAATAACAAAGTAATAATAATGACAACAATAAAACAAAAAAATGTTTTTGCGTTTTTCTTCTTTCAGGCCCCCCAGGGAGCGGAAAAACAGAATTAAGTAAACGTTTAGCGCTGCAGCTAAACGTCCGTTTGCTGCAGCTGCAGCAAGAGCAGCAGCAGCAGCAGCAGCAGCAGAGTATGAGGGCTAGGGAAGGAGAGCGTGTTGGTGCAGCAACAGCTTCGGGTGTATCTTCAGAGGATCTGAAAAAGAAAGGAAAAAAACCAGCAGCAGCAGCAGCAGCAGGAACAGCAGCAACAGGAACAGCAGCAGGAGGAACAGCTGCAGCAGGACCAGCAGCAGGAGCAGCAGGAGGAAGGAAGTGGCGCTGTTCTGTTGATGCTTCTTTCAAACAATTAAAAACAGCTCTACAACAAAATGTCTGCAGATATAGAGGCTTTATCCTTGATGGCGTTGTATCGTCTTATGAAGACTGTAAAAATCTCTTTCTTTCTCCTCAGAAACAACCCGAAGAAAACGCAGAAACAGCAGCAGCAGCAGGAGCAGCAGCAGCAGGATCTGATGCAGCAGCAGCAGGAGCAGCAGCAGCAGGACCTGACGTAACAGCAGCAGCAGGAGCAGCAGGAGAAGGCGAAGAAGCAGCAGGGGTTGTTGCTGCTGCTTCATACATGCCTCAGTTTGTTATTAGTCTTAGAGCCTCCGAAGAGCTTTGTGAGAAAAGAATAATGCATCTCCAGCAGTCTTCAGTTATTCAATCATATAATGATAGAGAAGGATTCAAAAAAAGAATGCAGCTGTACATACACCACAACGAAAACTGCGACGGGAAGCCAACACTCACAGACTTCTTCCAGGTATTATAATATATAATATAATATAATATAATATAATATAATATAATATAATATAATATAATATAATATAAT